CTGATCTATTTACAATTTTTTTATTCCTGTCTTATTATAACCAATAGCTTACAACTAAAAAGGCTGATAGATTTTACCAGCATTTAGAAATCTACTTATATTTTCATACTCAGAAGAAAAATTTTGTGGATATAAGGGGTCTATATATAAATACTTATAATCTCCCTTTTAGAAATTTAACGTCCATGGTCAGGAATTTTTTTCTTTACATTTCCTTTTATATAATATTAATATTTATATTTTTGCCATCCTAAACAGAAAGAAAATACTCTTGGCCATTTTGTCTCTAGCTAGGCTTTATGTACACTTGAAAATGACCATTACTAAGTGGCAACACCACTATTCAGACAATTTCAGTTCCTTTTGATTTCTAATCTTTAAAAAAAAAATTCTCCTAAATTTCCAAATGTCTATTCAATTTATAAAGTGCAAAATTACACAGTGACCTTAGATAAAATAACAAACATGCTGAACAGGATGGAAAGATTACCTCATGGTTGTCATGTATTATAATAACTAACCCAGTGAGTTTTCATTTTATAAACAGTATATTACTTAATCTTTTTGTCTATTATAGTCACTAAATCTTGTACATAACCAATAGTTTTCTGTCTATTAATACATTCTCCTTCATTAGGTATCTGGTTACTACTTAAGTATACCCAGTAATTCTCATAACTTATCCAGTTTATCAAAATCTATATGAAATCTAATATAATACTAGTTTTTAAAATGGCTTTCATATACATTGGACTGTTGCCATGTGCAACTTGACCAAACATTCTCTACATACACAAAAAAATTACACTCAGATCATTGTTGAAATTTCTGTATTTGAGGTGAGGATCAACTTCTGCATAACATTTTACTTTTTCCCAGTTGACAACATTCCATAAAGATCTTGGGTACATTTCACTGTTCACAGATTTGTATGCTATGATAACAAATATATCGCCTAATCTGTTCATTTTATTAATGAATATTATGAGATAATCAAAAACATTATAAAACTTTACATATGCCTGAACATGTTAGTTTATTCAGCATTATTACTGAATGAGAAAATCAACATTTACTAAGTGCCTATCAGGTTTTGTCAGAAATTATGCCAGGCTCTTTTACTATATTATTCATTTATATCACTCACACAAGAATAGCATTTTAGAAGTGAATTTTAAAACATGCCTAATGTCTCAACATTCAAAATAGAAGAGCCAGGATTTAAAATTGTATCGTTTGCAAGCCTATATACATTTTACCTACATTTCCACATCCAGTTTCAGGTAACTAAAGAAGGTGCTACTTTTATATTGACATGATTCCTAATTACCAAGTGCCTCATGGCTCCCATGAGGGAGCTACATTTATGATCTACCTCTTTAACTCCTTCTAGAACTCCTGGTCAATCTTCACAGCTTATCCCAATCACTGCATTTCATTTATAATACTACCAGCGAGTTAATCACTCCCTCTAGTGACTTACCTCCATACCCTAAACTTACTTCTATTATTGTACATATCACCTTATGTTGTAATTAATTATTTACTTTGTTTAATCTATCTTTCCTCCCCTATTTGCTCTGTATAGCCCAAACCTATGTTTAACCCATCTTTAATACCCAGGATCCAGAACAATTCCTGTTTAGCATATAATAGATATAGTCTATTCTGCTACATGTGCTTCGGTAATATGAATTAGCTATGTACACTTGGTAATTAAGAATCATGTCAATGTAAAAGTCACATCGTTTCATATGAGACTTTTCCAAACATGTTATCATTTCACATAGCTAAGTACAGCAAACAGATACAACGTATACTAACCAACACATCAAGCTATGAACATATTATACATTCACCGCTCCTTGCTCTTGGCTCAATTTGGCCAGAGCCTCTCTATTTTAGAAATGCTTTTTGCTCAGTTCTCATTTTCATGTACTTTGCCTTTGCCTTCTTTTTTTAGTGAACCTCAACCCTACCTAATACCAATATTCCCTTATATTAAGTTATCTTCACTTATTTTTTGATGTAAATTCCTTTATCTACTATAGTATTTATTGATTAGGAATTTAAAATTCTTTTTACCAGTACTAGTATTTTCATTAATACAGTTAGTGCTGTGGTTACAAAGCTACATAGGTTTTAAGTCATCTGCTTCAAGCCCATTTTTTCCATTTTCCTATCATTTTTAAGTTCATAATTTTACAAAACATGATTTTCAGGAATATATGTTCTTCATTATAACAGAAATGTCTGTACTGAAAATATTTGATGAAATCAATTACTGAGCATCCAATCTTCATCAGGCATTATACTTTTCATTCATTCAACAAATATTTACTGAATACCAAAGTAAATATTCACTGCTGAAGGCAAAATGAATGCACTGTTCTAGGAACCAAAGACAAACATGATGGGCAAAGAATGAATGCATATGTTTGTGTGTGTATGTATGTGTACATTTATATACATATTATATATATATTTAATACTTTTTTTTACATATCCAACTAAACAACAATTAATTACACATTACTGTTAGAGGCACATTCTAATCTATACTTCAGTAATTTTCAAACCTTTTAAGAACCACCACTTTTTGTTTCCCCAGAGAAATCTCAAACAGAAACAAAACATACAGATAAAAGCAGAACCCTGCACATTCAACATGCCTGCCCCTGGGACACCTCCAGGAACCCTGGGGCTTGTTAAACTATGATTTAAAATCCAGTGCTCTAACGACAATGCCCCACCCTTACGTGACCCCTTCAATGAATATTAATAAAAAGAGTCTGGGTCAAGAAAATCAATTAGGTCACTCTTGTAGTGGAGGCCTGTATCACTGACTCCTCTCTTCCCTCCCACAGAGCTGCCTTAGTAGGAGCCCTGATACTACTCCCAGGCCTTGACCCTGGTAAGATCTTACAGGGTAAAGATTAAGGTGAAAGCCTAAGGAAAAAAAGGTTTAAGAGGCTATTCAACTTGAAAATTTAGCCTTAAGCTAAAAACACAAGCAAACAAACATTCTCATAGATCACAAAAGATATCACCAAAGTCATTAGTGTGGGAAACCAAAAAGGAGTTTAAGGATAGAATCCCCTCAATTTAGGATACATTAATAAACAAAATAGACAAAGACTCCCTGCTCTATAAGACTTACATTCTTGGGGAAGGGGTGTGAGAGAGACAAGAGAAACAAACAAACATAATGAATAAGTTGATTACATAGTATCTTAGAAGGTGATAATGGCATGAGAAAAGGAGAGTGTGAAGCTGAGTAAGAGGGATCAAGAGAGCCAGAAAAAAACGTTAAATAGGGTGGTCCCTTGGGCCTCACTAAGAGAATAACCCTTGATAAAGACTTTAACAAAAGAGGTGAGAAAGTCAGCCATAAGAACATCTGCATCCTTGCATTTATGGAATAGTAAACTGTCCAGCATGGATGGAGCAGAGTGAGGGAGGGAGATGGATGAAATAGAAGAGGAAAGAGAGATGACTGAGGTGGGAAGAAAAGGCAAATCATGTAGAGGCTTACAGGTTTTTGTCAAGATTCTGGCTGTTACTCTGAGGGCCAGTACAGGATATTGCAGATCTGATATATATCTTAAATAGATTACCCTGCTAAATGAAGAATAGACTACAAAAAAGCACAAATATACAAAGGGAGACCATTTAGTAGGCAACTACAATTATCCAGGCAAGAATGGTGGTGGCTGAACCAGGTGGTATAAGAGTGAAGTGGTCAAGTATTTGTTCTTCATCCAAACATTTAAGTGGGTTCCAATCAATGTATCACATACCCAAATCCTTAAAAAATACTAGTAACAATGTAATGAATCTACAATTTCCTTAGTTGTAGCTACATATTGCCCAGATATTTCAAACAAAGAAATTAAGTCTGTTACTGAGTTTTCTACCATTCTATTAATATCACTTATATTTATTTCTATTCCCATACAAGTTCATATTATTTTTAAATGATGTAGAGAGGGGAAATGGAGAATTTTTTTGAAGTCTATATATCTTTCAAGTCAGTGATTTTTTTTCTTCTTTCCTTTTTTTCCAGTATAGTTCAGCAGATGTCTCTTTTTAAAAAGTAAAAACAAACATGTAAGTAAGCTATAAACCATCTTTTACACTTAAGAAAAAATACTGGGCACTGGTGAAATAGTTTTCTGTATTTTCCTATTTCCAAATTTTAGCATCTAAAGTCTACTAAACTTTATTATTGCTTTATACTCCTACTTGGCAATCTGTTCTCGCTTCCTTTTCATTTCATTTTATTATTCAAACTTACAGATAAAAATATATCCTACAACATAAGTGCTCAACTTTCATAAAAGGAGAGATGCACTAGAAAAAAGATATTTTAGTTGACTGGTACTCAAAAAAATATATAAGCTTAATAATTTTTTTTAAGTAGCTTTCTAGTATTAGGGACCAAGTTGAGGTTTTTGGTCATAAATTCTTCCTGCCCTAAAGAATTACTGTCCAAAAGACAGCTGGAGAACTTAATAGGAAAAAAAGGAATAAGATAAAAATTATTTAACTTTAACATGCAACTATTAAAAGACTTCATAAAGGATTTAATTCAGGAAACGTTTTAAAGTTCTAGCCACATTTTAGGAACTCTTCTCCACAATTAAAAAGAAAACTTTGGGTTTCCATACATTTATTTGATAAACCTTTTATGATAATGCTATTTAATAGCTCAAACAATGCTTTACAACTTTAAGCTCTCAGACATACATTATTTTATTTATTTTAGTAAAGGTATCAAATTATCTAAGAATAGCCTGAGGCTTAATGACTGTCAAAAAGATAAAAATCATCTTTCAAAACCTAAAATAAAATTTATTTCTTAAAATATAAATATTTTAACAGAAATGTTATTTTTGGGAGGTTTTTTTGTAAAAAGGTATGCAATTAGTGAGTTAACAAAGGCTAATTAAGGCAGAAGAACAGAAAGTGAGGGATCCAGATCACTAAAACAGACTTACCTTCTGATGTTTTCCATTGTTTCCATAAATCCTCAACAGTTATATGCTTATCTTCTCTATGCAGATGGCTGTGTTTATTAGTAGCATCTTTATATTTCATATCTTCTCTAATAAACTATAGAAGAGAAAATGCTAAGTTAAACATACTTAAATTCACTATTTTAGTCTCAATAAACTGAGAAAAACATAAAATCTGATATCCAATAGGGGACTATCTTCTGATAATAACTGGTATATTTTTGGTATTTTATAGTCACAGTCTTACAAGTTTGTAAAATGTATTAATGAAATGTGTTCTACTACTAATCTTAACAATGGTAACAGCAGTAGTAAAAGTACTTATTCAATGCTTATTATTTACCAGGTATTATTCTAAGTTATATAATAAATAAATATGTCTATATAGTTGGCCCTCAGTGTCTGTGGTTTCTGCATCCATGGATTTAACCAACCATAGATCAAAAATATTCGAGGAAAAAAAAGGATGACTGCATCTGTACTGAACATGTAGACTTTTTTCCTTGTCATTATTCCTTAAACAATGCAGTACAACAATTATTTACATAGCATTTACCTTTTATTAGAAGTAATCCAGAGATGATTTAAAGTATATGGGCGGATGTGTGTAGGTTATATGTAAATACTACACCATTTTTTTTTCAGAGGTACAAATGCTTTGGTTACATATATTGCCTCTGCACCACCCAAGTTGGAGCTACAAATGTGTCCAACTCCTAGACATCACACACCAGTACCCATTACGTGTGAATATACCCATCTCTTCCTCAGTCCTCCCACTTGCCCAATGCCCTATGAATGTTACTTCCATATGTGCACATAAGTGTTGATCAATCAGTACCCATTTAATGGTGAGTACATGTGGTGCTTGTTTTCTAGTCTTGTGATACTTCACTTAGAAGAATGGGCACCAGCTCTATCCAGGATAATACAAGAGGTGCTAAATCACCATTGTTTTTTGTGGCTGACCCAAACGTGGATTTTGGTATCTGCAGGAGGAACCAATTCTCCATGGATACCAAGGAACAACTGTGTATTCATATACACATACATACATACATACATACAGAGAGAAAGAGAGTCATTTACTTTTATGACAGTCCTATAAGAAAAGTGTTATTTAATCCCATTTTATAGATGAGAAACCAAGGCCCAAAGAGGTTAAATAATTTTCCTAAGGTTGAAAACATGACAAATAGCAAAGCTGAGATTCCAAATCAAGCCATTCAGTTATACTCAACAGCGTAATATACTGCTTCAATATTATTGTATACATTTTTACTAAACACTTACGGACAAGGATGTTTAAAAACATAATAATATCATTACTCTATCGCATTTTTATTTTCTCCTGGCTTTCAAGCTGTTATTTATATTTGAAGTACATTTGATTATGGTATTTAGAATTAAAGTATTTTTTAAAAGTAAAGTATATCCTCTATAAATCTTACTTTAAATATATGTATATATAGAGAGAAAGCACTAAAATTATCTTGGCTAAAAACCTCTTTTTTAAATTCTATATAAAGGAACCTGATTGCCCTAGCCTCTCTGTCATCTCTCCTGCTCTTCTTGAATGACACCTTCAAAATCCAGTAGAGAAAAGCTGGAAAAATCACTGCCCCACTGACATGCTCAGAAATCGCCTTTATCTTTAAAAAAGTCCAAGACCTGGAGAAAAATTCTAGACTGAAAATCATGATGATGGACAGAGCAGAGAAGAAGTTTGTCTTGAAAATGGTCCAATCAGTTGGAACAAATGGCAACTGTTTCATTTATGTGATACATATAAACAATGTCCTAAAAAATTCCCTGCACCACATGAACACAAAGAATACAAAAGTACAGTTTTGTGGTTTCAGGATCAAAATATTTCAATGGTAACCTCAAAGAGTTATGAGGACTAAGTGATTTTTCATATGAAATATTTTAAAAAGTGCTTGGTACACAGCTGACACCCAATAATGTCAGCTTTTTTAATTGTCTTTTCCTAAATAATGAGTTAAATTTTTACCTTGATTTGCATTCTCTCTCATTTCCTGACATTAGTAAAGACAGTTTGAGTTACTACAAAACACCAGCTGAGAATTAATGATCTAAGAATTAAATCCACAAAGAACAACAATACCAAATCTTGACTGAAACTCCAACGCAAGAAGCTGTAATTGGTATAGAGACAGGGGTTGCTACTCCTAAGACATTCCTTGTTATAATAACCTTAATCTTACCATCTAAGATGGATGATGACACTGACACAAAACACTAGAGAGCACAGGCAAACTGGAATACGTTTTCACAAAAATAACAACAAAAGAAAAGGTAAATTATTTAACATCTGAAAAAAAATTCTTCAGATCCTAAATTCAAACTTTAAACTGCGTTAATAATGAAGACTTCAAGCTGATTTGGACAGTTTCTATACTTTAACACAAGCAAGACTTGATACTTTTGCCCCAACTCCTACCAATGTAACTATTGCTCTAACACCAAATCAGCCCATAATCCCTAAACTACCTACATCCAAACACCCATCAACCAATCCCCAGTTTTCTTATAATAAATCCACTAAAATGACCTCCTTCAAATTCAATTCTCAGGAGAGGTCAGGGCCCCAAAGCCTTCACAATTACTGTCAACATCATTTAAGCTATGAGCTAGCCTGAGAACTTAACCATTATATACAAGTGATTCAACTGATTGGTCACCAGATAGATGATAGATGATAGATTCGAAAAACTGATTTACAAAGATACTTATGAAACCCAATGTTTTTATGGGTTGGAATCTGCCTGTGTCACTCGTTTTTTAAGAACCAATATATGGCCTACATGACCTATCTCATGATTATGCTTCAAGATTATTGTCGATTATAATCCCAAAATCTCTAACAAAATTACCCATGATTCCACCAGTCTTGACACTAATAATCAAAATGAAGGTACTCTACTGTCATTAAAAAGAATACCAAAATTAGAGTCCAAACACCTAGGAACTTCCTAGTCCACAAACACCTATAACTTCCCTTCTATGTTCCCAAGTGGAAAATAAAAGGTAAAAACTACTTCATAAAGTTATAAAGATAAAAAAATAAAAAACCATTGCCTTACAAATTTATGGTGAAAAACTATTACTATTATTAATGTTAAAAGTAGATACTGTGGCAACTAGAGATATACCAAGGTCTAGTGTTGGCCTTAGGATCCAGTCAAAATCTAACATTAGGTTTTAGCCTCAGATTCCAGAACTCTAAATACCCAAATACCTACTTGAGCATCTTTCTGTCATTCATGAATTTGTACATGATCAATACTCACACAATCACATAAGTTAACAAATCCAATCAGCATAACATCAGAAATTCATAAGGCAAATCATTTGTAATTAACATTACTATGTGTGGGGGATGGACATGCTTGAAGCTTTTACTCGAAGGGGGAGGGGACATGGGCAATATATGTAGCCTTAACACTTGTACCCCCATAATACGCTACAATAAAAAAATAAAAACATTACTATGTGAATATTTATTTTAAGTAGAGGTAAGTACCCAAGATTTAGTAAATCATCTCCTTCTGTGTTTCATTTGTTAAAACTTAATGTTAGAACTTGCATTTCCAACAAAGATGAGATTACAGGGACCAGATTTACCACCCCCCCCATAATAAAAACCAACTAAAAAACCAGACAAAATATATAAACAACAGTTTTCATGCCACTAAACATCAGCCAACAAAAGACAGTAATCCCTGAAAGACCAGAAACAAACATGTGTCTCCTATGACTGCCCTAAATTAGTTCCTAGAAAGTCAAGAAAAAGGTGCAGGAAGAGGGAACCCACTATTGCCAGGCAGTTTCTCTGAGTTGAAGAGACAGAACTGGAATGTAAGGGAAATGGCACATTCATACATCTGAGAAAAGTCTAACATTTTGAGGAGAAGGGCAATTTTATTAATATCAAGTAAAATGTTAAGTGTTCATTGCCTTTAACCCAGAATTTCCACTTTTCAGAATTTATTGTACAGCAACACTTAACATAACTATAGAAAAAGTTCAAGAGCTTTCATTGCAATAATAGCAATAATAAAAATTTTATGACCACCCAAACTGCCTACCACTAAGAGAATCATTAGAAAAATCATGACATCACCAAGGTATATCTGTTTATCCTTAATAAAAAAAAGAGAAGCTAAGCACTAATAGTTATCTGATATTTAATGAAATTTTATCAATAGAGTATGATCACTTTGGAATTTTTTTCATGTTGATTAGAAGCTCTGGGTGTTAAATACCTAATACATTAAAAAACAAAATTAACAACAAACCAATCAGAGTTTCTAATGAACATTTTCATACTCTCTCTCAACTTCGACCCTAATGCAGACAGGTGTTACCTAGATCCACTAAGGTACCGCTTGATAATTCCTAAAAACAACACAGAGCTAAGTCAAGTACTTCCAGTCTTACAGCCCCTAAGAAATAGGATATATATTAAAGTGATGAGTACTAAGATAATTTAAAGGTTTTTTTTTTTCAGTGAGAACTATGTGTAATTTATTATAATATTTATATACAATGAAATAAGGTTATATAATGATTATAAAGTTGGTTTCCAAAGAAGCTGGTAATAATAACTTTTAATCGGTGTGCCCAAGAAATAGGTCTAATACAGTTTCAGGTCTGTTTCCATGCGTCCCACTCTGGGATGCCTCCATCTTGCTTTAAGGGCTTTACTGTTGAACTTGTGTATATGGATGTTAACTTACACAAACACTCACAGTTTAACATCTCTAACTACTGTTTCTCCTCCTTGACCCTTCTCATCCTCCTGATGACTTACCCCATTCCCTGTTCATTAAACAATGTTGCTGCTTGTGATTTACTCCCATTAACATTCTTTTTCTTCATAAAATCATATATAAACCTACATAAATGTCCTAATTTCTGCTTTATAAAAAGCAAAAAAAGTCTCCCAGTTGATCCCCTCTGTGGAGGCATCATTGTGTCTGAATTGAGGAAGCCTGGCCAATAAAAATATCACAATTCCTTTGGCCACAGGGAATGACTGGAAGTAGGCACCTAACCATGTGAGAACAATCA